ACACTTTCATGAAATAGCACATGCACCCAATATAAACACATAGCCACTAGCAGAGCTAACTTCATCATTGTCAGTAACCCTGTTTGCATTACAAAGCCTTCTAAAATAGCAGGAAATTTATTAAAATGCAAACCTCAATCACCTTAGTAAACGATGAAGAGCATTTCAGTGTTCACTACTGGGGTTGTAAGTAAATCTACTCAATCTACTAACAACATAAGCAATATCAGACCGTGTATAATACATGAGAAACATTACACTACCAATTATCTTAGCATATTTAGTTTGAGAAATAATAGATTCTTTATCCTTTCTCAAGTGTATGCTAGGATCATAAGGAGTTCTCACAGGAGCTCATCAAAACAATCAAACATTTTCTCAATGTAGTGAGACTGAGACAATGAAAATCCATTAGCAGTTCTTTTAATTTTAATCCCTAAAATTGCATCTGTTTCTCCAAGATCATTCTTTTCAAATTTAGACGACAATAACTTCTTACTCTCATTTACAATATCCACATCAGGTCCAAAGATTAATAAGTCATCTACATACAAGCATATAATCACACAATTTGATCCTACCATCTTGGAATAAACACAAGTATCAGATGCATTAACAACAAACTCATTATCTACTAGTATGCTATTAAACTTTTCATACCATTTCTTAGGTGCATGTTTAAGACCATATAGAGACTTTCTCAATTTGCATACATTATTCTCTTGTCCTTGGATCACAAAACCCGCAGGTTGAGTAATATAGATCTCTTCCTCTGAATCACCATTTAGAAAAGCCGTCTTAGAGTCCATTTAACATATCACTAAATTATGGATAGCGGCTAAGGCAAAAAGAGTTCAAATCGCTCCGATTTTAGTCATAGGAGAATAAGTATAAAAGTAGTCAATGACTTTCTTTTGGTTAAAATGCCTAATAACAAGTCTAGCCTTATATTTCTCCATTGTACCACCAGGTCTCAATTTCTTCTTAAATACCCACTTGCTACTTTCGGGTTTATAACCTATAAGAAAATCAAACAAGTCCCAAGTGTGATTAGAAACTATAGAGTCTAATTCACTTTTAATGGACTCTTTTCAAAAATTAGCATCTATTGAAATCATTACTTTATCATAAGTCTTAGGGTCTTCTTCTATTAAATAGGTAGACACTAATTAATAATTCAAAAGATCAAGCTCAATATTTTCACTCAAGAAAGTATTGATAAAGTCAGAACCAAAGCTAGATTCAATTCTACGTCTCTTACTCCTTTTAAGTTCATTTTTATGATCATTAGTAGTAATACTAGAAGAAGGCACAATATGAGAATTAAAAGACATAGATGTATTATTAGGCAAATCAGTAAGAACATTATCTTTCAATGGAAAAACATGCTAAAAAAATTATGCACCTCTAGATTCACAAATAGAATGATCATTCAAAGAAAGAGATCTATATGCAGCAATTTTTTGAGTTTAACCAATAAAAATGGCATCAAAAGTCTTGGGTCCTACAGTTACTTGTTTAAAATCAGGTAGATCAACCTTAGCCAAACAACCCCACACTTAAAGAAATTTTAAGTTAGGGGCAAATCCTTTCCATAACTCATAAGGAGTTTTATCTAATTTCTTATTAGGGACTCTATTAAGAACATAACATGAAGATAAGACAACTTCCCCCCACATCTTGTCAAATAAACCTAAACTCAAAAGTACAGGATTCATCATTTCTTTAAGATTTCGATTTTTTCATTCAGCTACATTATTTTGTTAGGGAGTATAGAGATCACTAACCTCTTGTTACACTCCATGTTTTCGTACGTGGAAAAATGCCATAAGTAAATTGATATAAGCTCGAAAATGAGATGTTACATCCCGCATTTCCGTACGTCAAAGTTTCATCATAAGTTAATCGACGTAAGCTCGGGAGGAGATTATTTGGAGGTTATAAGTATTATGCTATTTCAAACGAGTGATAAGTAAATTCGTGAAGGTGAGAGGGTAAGCGAATCGAAGAAACTGAGTTTCATAGAAGTTTGTCAAATTGGGATAAAATACGGTCCAAGCTATAATACCCGGTATTTTATGGACTAGTGCCATACGAGGTACCACATGACCATGATATTCAGGTGTATAAAGTATATTAAAAGTGAGTAGTATTCTAAGTAATTCGGAATAATTATTAATTATGTGGATAATGGGTAATTATTGATTTTTAGTGGGAGATTAAGTAATTAGTTAAGCATAATTTGGATAAGGTTAAGTGCTCCCAACATGGCAGCATGTGTAAAGCTTTCATCAAGCCTAAAGTGGCTAAGGTGTTATGAGGCGGCATCTTGAAAGGGACTCTTGGCTAAGCCATAAAAGGCTCTCAAAATCACAAATATATGGAATGGAACGTGAGTGCTTTAGCAAAAGGCATACAAGACTTCTCAAATTCATCGAAAGTCACATAAGATTATGATCAAAATTCAACAAAAGGCTTCTTTAATATATAGAATGGAGATGCTTACATCCAACCTCCAAGTAACGAGCCTTCAGCAACAGAATTTATCCGAGGATATAGTACGAGACTTCTTAGAAAATTAGCAACAAGATTTTGCGATGATAAAGGAGTACAGTGCAATCTTTCTCAAGAATATCATACGGATTCTCCCCTACTTCGATCCGTCGTTACGTGTTTTGTCGCAATTGAGGTATGTTAGCTAGATTATCAAGAGAATCGGTCCAAGTATGTTAAGGCTAAACCTTTCTTTATTTTGGCATGATCCAAGAACTACATATGTTTGATAACGAGACATAAAGAGAAGTTCATATTCCCGTTATGTACATTTTCCTAATCTCATTATTTATAGTATTCTCCCTTATCGGGACTTTATATTCAGTTGAGTATTGTCTTCTTCCGGTCAAGAGAGCGGAGGGTCTATGTATATATATATATATATACAGTATTACAANTTCAATGCAACATTGCTTCTAGGATTGCTGTTTTTTTTCTCGAATCTGGCCATTTTTGCCATTTTTGCAAAAGTGGCTATTTTTGTAAAGTATTTTTTTTTGAATCTGGCCATTTTGCCAGCTTTGCAAAAGTGGCTATTTTTGTAAAGTGTGTGTTTATACAATTGTGGCTATGTAGTTATTGGTCATAAATGCAAACTAAGTTAAAGAACCAATATTGTATCAACTTTGGGCCTTATTGAACCAAAAAATAAAAGCTGGCCCATTTACCTTAAACAACAAAATTACCCTTTTCTTCTATATAGCATTGGGCCAATAAAAATCCATTTCTTGGCCCATTTTTTAGTAATAAATTCCAGCAGCCCAAGAGGTCTTTACAAGCTGGCCCATTTCCCCTTTTAACAAAGAAGTTGGCCCATCCCTTTAAAATAGATAGAGTTGGTCCAACATTTATTTGCATAATATTTTCAATAATAAGATTAGAAAAATAGAAATAAAAATCAGATTTTTTTTATATACCAATTAAGTAACTCACTTTCTTCCAATTAATTATATCGAACGCTAGGCAATTAGTAGGTGCGCTCTAATTCCACGGTTTCGCTTGCGTAACGTGATGTTCAACATTCAATAATTTAATTCAACAAGGTCATACAATATTCGTTAGTTTTTCAGTTGATTTTTAGTTTAATAAACTCTTTGCCAAACTCGCGGATTCGCTTGCGTAGCGCGATAATTGACCTTTTAATAAATTTCAAAAAAAAAATTAATAATTAAACTCTTAGAATGTATTAATTTTCCTAGAAGTAAATAACTTGCTAACAATTGTTTGTCATGACTGCGGATTCGCTTGCGTAGCGCCGTTATGATTAAATAATAAATTTCGTCGATCACGCATTCGCTTGAGTAGCGCGACGGTTGACTTGTAAATTTTAAAGAGCTAATTTTCTCAAATATAGTATTTTTTTTAAAAGTATTACAAATAATTGATTGTCATGATTTCAGATTCGCTTGCGAGGCACAATTATGACAAATTAATTAATTATTTTTTATTCGATCACGTATTCGCTCGCGTAGCGTGGTTATGACATTTTTTATATTATTCAAAGACATTCTTTGATTTCTCTAATAATCAAGAGATAAAAGCGGATAGGTACAACATGAAAATAATATAAATCACAGTTTGTCCAAAATTAATTCAAGCCAAGTTTAAGTCAATAAAGCGACCGTGCTAGAACCACGGGACTCGGGGAATGCCTTATACCTTCTCCCCGGTCAACAGAATTCCTTATCCGAACTTTGTTTTCGCGGACCGATAAAAATAGAGTCAAACCTTCCTTTGACTAGGGATTCAAATAAATGGTGACTTGGAACACCGAAAAAATCAATTCCAAGTGGCGACTCTGAACAATAAAATAATCCCTACTCAAGTTTTTGTCACTTTAATTGGAAAAACTCTTTAACCCATACATACATATATTTCGGGGATAGGTGGGAAGAAGGGGTGTGACACCTAATATATACAATCTTTCAAAAAGGACTCGGCCTGCAAAAAAAAAAAAACGAAAACCTTATTGCTTCAAAATTTTTGTATGCAATGGAGTATTTACAAACATGTACCGTATTCACTTGTTCTATTAGTGGAAAATAAATAATTAAAATTCTAGTAGTATTCTGGAGTTACTGTACAATTTTTAATTGGTACAATGATAACGATAGTCCATCTCAGATGAATTAACTCCATCATTCAAATATATATGACAAAATGGATTACAATCCAACCGCATATGATTAAGGACTTATAATGCTCTTTGCTTAAAGCTGTATATGTAATAAACAGTTCACTAAATAATAGAGTTCGAACCCAGTAAATTAAATGAGGTTTCGTAAAATACTAAATCCGGACCCGTAATATTCAAATCCTTCATCTCCCTCCGAAGGATACTAAAAAGGAATTAATTAATAAAAGGAAAAACAAAATACAGAGAACATGAAGGATTTTACACCTGCATGGACCATAAATAGAAGAAAATCTTGTAATTTATCAAACTTTTAACCACAGATTCTTGGAACAGTCCAAATTTGTGGCTTTGACATCCTTTCATCAGCAGGTAAAGCCATAAACTTTTTCCAATCATCAATGGCCATAGTTAGGTCATGTATTTTATTTTCAAGTCCTATACAACAATTTGCATGCATTGTGCAAACAAAATTGAGATCTTTACTAGGCTCACAAAATCCCCCAAAAAGAGCAGTGTCCAAAAACCTTATTTTCAATCCAATTTCTTTAACAAAAGGGTCGTGTTTTATCATGTTGAGTACATCTTGATCCATTTTTCCTGGATGAGCCTCTCTTGCATCATACCAAAACTTGTAAAATTGGATGCTACGATTATTTGATTTCACAAAATTGAAACCTCCATTCGGTGAGTTGTCCAAATCAAAAGAATCATACCAATAATGGTCGCAAGCTATTTGGAAATCAGTGTCAGGATAAAAATGTGCAAATGGTTGTCGAAACCACAATATATCAGCATCCTGAAGACACATGGAAAAAAAAAATTTTTTTACAATATATAGCTAGAATATAAGGGATAGAATAAGTGATTACTAGACACCCATTTCGAAAAATCACATTTCAAAGTAATAGAGGATATATACTCATGAATTTTT